GCCTGGAAAAGTTTTGGAAAAACAGACAAACCTACAAAGTTTTGGAAAAGTCATGGAAAATGGATCTTTATACTTAAATAAAGGTTAGTTGTCTTTAATTATTTTCTGTCCTTGGCCCATTACATACTCTAGGATTATTAGTGCGGTGTAAGCATTATCTAAGCATTATCATCTATATAAATATAAATTGGGCGTCATGGTGGCGCAGCGAGTAGCACAATCACCTCACAGCAAGAAGGTCGCTGGTTCGAGCCTCGGCTGGGTCAGTTGGTGTTTCTGTGTGGAGTTTGTATGTTTTCCCTGTCTTGAAGTGGGTTTCCTCTTTTTTTTTCCCCCAGTTTCCCCCACAGTCCAAAGGCATGCGCTATAGGTGAATTGAGTAAGCTAAAATTGTTCGTAGTGTTTGTAAATAAATGTTTATGGATGTTTCGTAGTGATATGTTGCAGCTGGAAGGGCCTCCACTGTGAAAAATTTATGCTGGAAAATTGACGATTCATTCTGCAGTAGTGACCCCAGATCTATAAAGGGACTTAGCCGAAAAGAACATGAATGAAAGAATGAATGAATGAAAAAATATAAATTTAAACTAAATAGATTGTTCCGTGTTGTACGATATGCTGTAAAAAAAAAAAAAAAAAAAATTATATTGTTTTTTACCACACATATGTAGACATTGCATGAAACATTAGGTCATGGAAAATTTACTTGAAAGTCTAAGAAAAATCATGTAAAATAATTTAATTTTAGTAGTTAAAAGGTATATGAACCCTGAACTGTAAAATGCTCACTGCCATTCACCATGTGAAAATGACTGGAAAAGTCAGATATTTATTAATGGAATCAAAATCGTGCATCTTATCGAATAAGTGGATCTTTAAAAAAAATTAAGCATTTTTCAAATAGAACCAGTTATCAATACCCAACCCTACCCAATAGTGGCTCCTACAAAAGTTTATTTTTTTAATATGTATTTTTAGATAAACTGGATGCTGACTACATCAAACGCTACCTGGGTGACCTCACACCCCTGCAGGAGAGTTGCCTCATTCGCTTGCGTCACTGGTTACAGGAGACACACAAGGGCAAGGTGAAATGCACACACATCACTTCCTATATTTCTTAATTTATTTTAAGTCTTTCAAAAATTAGAAAGCATGTAAAAATAATCTCAGGTCCTTAAAATTGCTTGAATCAAACAAAAATTAAACCCATTTAATGCAATAACTCCTACATTTGCTGAACAGTTAAGCATAGCTGACTGAACTCTACACTGTGCCCTTTCAGTATAAAAAGCAGAATAAGCAGTCTGCCATTTTGGACTAATAAGAAAATATTTATTTGAAAGCATAAATATTTTTTTCAGTTTTGCATCATGTGTTGCCTGTATTCTGTAGCAATTGATATTTTGTTAGTCACATACCTTTTTAAGTGATTAACTGTACTTCCTGAGGTTGCTTACAGAGATGTCACAAGCATGACACTTATGCTACAAACCTGTCCTACAAATATTTTAACCTCTAAGAAATTAAAGAACAGCCCTGAGCATGTGCTATTACAAATATTTAGTATGGTGCTTCATGAGAGAGAGGTGCTTTAAATAGTCTTAAAGTTTTTTTATGAAAGACTGAATACCCTGAAATAAATTCAAGCTTTTTAGTGTTAACATTATTGATTGACCATTAGTAAAAAAAATACCAGTATATATTAGAATGCAGTAAATAATTTTGCTCTGTTCTGTATTTCACACATTGCTGTTCTGAAGTTTACCTGTAAACAGCAGTGCTTCCCAAATTGCTGCTGAGACCGATAGACATCGTCAAACAGATGAAATCTTCATCAATGCTAAAAGAATGCTAAAAATAGTAAATAAGTGCAATACTAGAAGTGAAATTGGCATTATTTAGCATATAAAGCAGATTATAAAAGTGAAACTAGATATTAAAGTTTGAGGACAAACTTTATGGTGGCTTAGTGGTAAGCACTAATAGCGTGTTTTTACGAATAATTATTTAGAACAAATACTTGAAAAATTATTTGTACGTTACAAGAAAAAAATTATATCAAAAAGCTGCGTTTCCTCATGAGACCGCAGTGCATGCCCGCGTGAGTGAGACATTTAGGAGTGGGGGGGCGGGGTGGGATGGAGTAATAGGTTACTGACGCAGGCTGCTGCTCCACACAGCAACAGAGAAGGCTTGGCAGAGCGAAAAATACTGCATTACTATTTTTGTTAAATAATTGTTTTTTTTCATCATACTAAAATAACACGTGACAGAAGTTCACTCAAAAGTGAAAGTTCTTTCTGTCATTTATTACTAACACTCCCGTCATTCTTACTACTTTCAGAACGTAACTTTTGATATTTTACCATATGAAAATGCAATGCAGTTATGAAAATTGTGAAATTTAAAGCAATAGTGCAGAGATCTGGTCCCCGCGTCAGGTCAGGGTGCACCTGTAACCTTTAAAACGCAGACGCAGAGGCGCACTAAACTCACACGGGAAAGAACTGGGCATTCAATTCATGTTTTAGTTAAATAATTCTTTAAATACAGCTCTCTTGATCTCTAAAGAGGAAAAAACGCAAAAGAAATTTGTCGTTAAATGAATTTTAGCAGACGCAACTGCCTGTCATTTTCCCATTCGTTTTTCAGTTAGGGATTAGGTCTATTAGAGTAACCTAATAAAAATGTTTTGTTGGACACTGTGGTCTACACAATAATCAATATTATAATTTATTATATTGGCTACATTATTATTAAAACTAAACTATACAATTAATAAAACAAAACCCTTTTTAATATTTGCTTTCATTTTGACACCGCTAACAGTTGTAATAAGAAACATCACATTATGCAGAAGCAGTCTCAAGTTAAAAATACCTTTTGAGTTTAAAGATGATCAGCCTGCCAAGTCAAGTTTACAGTGTCATAAATGAAATAGGTAGCATGAGTAAAGGGGATTTGCCCAGCACACAACCTCTCGCTGCAGGTAGGCTGAATGATAATCTTTAAAATATATATATGCAATACAAAACTTTAAATATTTATGTTTTTTTAAATAAAAAGAAAAGAAATCAGGAGAGTAAAATATAATTTAAACCACTGGTCTGGCACTGGGGAGACGGCGATAACATGGATTATCTGTTCTTCAGAAAAGATCACGACATTGTGAGGCGTTTATCATACAACGCAGTTCGTGTTTATAATCATTAATATTAACTAATATTAATTCTCTCTCTAGACTTTGTTTTAGGCCTTGTTCTTGTCGGCGCAATATAGCCTCGGCTTATTGCAAGTACGAATTCAATTGTGAAGAATGATTAAGCGCTTGCATTTTTTATTGCATCCTTTTCGCAAGTTATTTATCTATTTATTTTTTTAAAGTGGTGAGAACATTATTTACTGGCAAACATGTTCCTCGATCTCGTAAATCTACAAATAAAGTAGCCTACCTAAGTTAATTTACCTTTTATGTAAAAATTGAGAAATAACTTAATTAAATATTAATAAATAAAACATCCGTATAAGTGTACGTGTTTATTTTTGAACTTTCGTTAATAAAACAACACAAAACTGTTTATAAATATTGTAGTTAAATATTAAATAACTTTAACTGCTTGAAACCATATAATAATAATTAAACGTTAAATTTTTAAGAACTTAACAAATAGCCTAATTGGCACTTTACTAATCAGTGTAATAATAATATAAATATAAATAATTATAAGTAAAAAAAAAAAATATATATATATACACATATATACACACATATATATATATATAAAGAGAGAGAGATAGATATAAAGTATAAATAGTGTATATAAACCAACCAAATGCAAAGACTGAAGCATCTCATAGGTACACAGTTAGGGTTCTATCAACTGCTGCTAATGTACTAATGTAAATAAATAATAAAAATAAATATTGATCACATATATCATGGTTTGGATCACATTACGGTTTTTCAGTCATGGATCAGATGATTTTAGATCACACTGTAAAAAAAATTAAATAAAATAATATAATATATATATTTGTGTGTGTGAGTGTGTGTGTGTGTTAATTAACAGTTTCCTTATTTAGTGTTTTCCAATTATTTACAGTTGTGAATTGCATCTTGGGACATTGATTTCTGCTCTGTCCTATTTTGATGTTGAAAACTCATGAATAATATAATGTTTAGGAAATAATGTATAGAGAAAGTAATCAGTAAAATAACAGAAAATGTACGGGCAGCTTTTTTGCAGCATAATATACAACAGCAACCAGACAATATATCACTTTAAACTATTACAATTGTTCATAAACTTCACTTTTTAGGGTTAAAAGTTGTCAAGGTCCCATAATGACATTAAAAAGCATAATTAACACAAACATAAAAATATGAATTACAAAATACGATAATTTACAAATATTTTTTGTCCCAAAACCCTCCTTAGCACAAAGCTAATCTGTGCTGATAGGACTGATGACAGCCTGTTGCGGTTGGTCAACAGTGTTCAGCGCGAGACAGAGTAAAATGGCCAGCACGCCATATAAACAATATTAAAGTAGTCAGAGTGCATAGTATATGTGTGAGCCTACCTGCAAACACTCTTGTTTTTCCTGGAAGTTGCATATGCATATGCAAATCATTATCATTTATAATTTATGTTGCAGGCTAAACAAGTAGTGACAAAAACAGCTTTAATGACCTAAGCAAGTATGTAGGTGTGACCACAACCTCTTTGGTCGTCAATAATGTTTGTAGGGAGGACAAAATATTTTTATACATGCGATTTGAATGAAATGGGAGGTGATGTCTCTGCAATTGCTAAAAATGCTGGAGCAATTGACAAGTAAAAAAAATAATGTTATTAAACTGCAGGTCATGTGTGTTCCAAACCATGAGTTGTGATCCATTCAGTTAAGGTTGATTACACCCCTAATGTGTATACATAAAAAAAAAAATGTGTTTACATGTTAACCATGTTAAGGCTGTGTGCATGGCTTCACACCTTTTTGATGCTGCTAGCGTACTGTTTCATGGCTATCTTCTCCACAGTGCTCTCAAAACCAAAAAAAGATTTGATGTCCAGACTTGCAGATTGTTCAAAGCATGTCCATTCTTCATTTTCTGGATGAACCTAACATTTGACAAAGGCATTCCACATTTTTGTTAAAATCTTAAACAACACAAATTTTATATTTTACTCCAAAAAAAAATGCTATGGTAAGAAAATCACCATGGCTTGTTCAGACAGGCAACATTTAATTAGATGAAGTCAGAATAACAAAATAGCAACCTAAAATCCATTTTTAAAAGTTGTTTAAAACTGAATAAAACATTTAAAAGAGAACCCCAGACTTTCCTCTTCCCAGACACTTCCTCCATCCAAAGTTCATGACCATATTGAGACTAAAAACGTGGATTACTCTGTACCTCAATTGCTACTTTTATCCTGCTGGGCCAGTATGAGCCAGGGCTTTACTTTATTTACTCCAATAAGTGAAACCTTGCTTATTATTGCATACATGTATATATGAATGCTTAGGTAAAGTTCAACATTACATACTCATGTTTAGTCTTTATGTTCTCAGCACAAAGTCTAGGGCATAGTGAAAGTGGTTTGGAAAGTGTTTAATGCATAGGAAAATATTTGAGACTTTTAAATCAGTACTATGCAAATGTCATCGCACAATTGATGACATCCCATAGCGACCAACTTACAGGGTAATTAATTACAAAACTGGATTTTTATTTCCGCATTTTAGAGAAAGGACAAAACATTCCCTCAAAAGAAGTTGTTGGTTGCTTGTGTTGCTGCTTAACGGTGGATGAAAAAGATTTATTGTGAGAGCATTACACCACTTAATGTCAGCAAGGAAAAAAGAAGTCTGTAAATTAATTTGGAAAGTTGAGCAACTATCTGTCATAGCCCTTTTTTGTCTGTCTTTTCTGTGTTGTCGTCTTTCTATGTATCTATGTTTGTGTTGTGTCTGAACACATGGCTCAGCCTTTGTTTGTGTTCACCATGTGCTCCATTCCTCCCTCCTTGTTTCCAGCTGCCACACCCCCTTGTTTAGCTCTTGTCTAGTCCTCCTTAAGCTACGGTCACACTTTTTTTGTTCAGAGTTTGTGTGTGCTAATTTCTGTCGTACGGCACTGCGTAAAAGGGGCGGGATAAAACAAGCTTATTAGACATTTAAAAAAGCGAGTGATTGCTCCATGTTTTAAATTTCTGCCCAGAGAGGTCATGTTTTGATCCTTAATTGATCTCACGCAGTCAAGTGATGCGATTTTGCAGGTCAGAGTTCACCAAGCTTAAACTTTGCGAAACTTGACGGATGACCCTGCATTTCTGGTCTGACGATTACTTGTTTCTGCTTGTGTTGGATGTTACTTGATTGTGCTTGTTTCTCTGTGCTGTTGGTTGTAAGATTGAGTTGTCGTTGTCTAATGTTTGTTTCTGTTTTTTCAGTAAACATTCAGTGTCATCCCCTTTTGGTTTATCCTCTTCAAGTTTGCTTGTTCGCGTTATTATATTTATCTTACTTGTTTTATTAGTCACTTTAAGTGTTTAATTCTCTTATTGGATACATTTTCCCTTTTTATTTCAGCAGGTTAAATCCTATTTTATTTCTTTCTGCTATTATTTTTCTTTTGTTATTTTAGTTGTATTACTTCTATAATTCTCCCAGTGTGTGTGTGTGGTCTTTATCCAGCCCTGTCTGCTTTGAATCTCTGGCTGCTGGTGTCCTGTCAGGCTGCTATTGGTGAGACCTGGTCAGCAGTGCCTCCAAGGCCTTTACCATCTCTTGTCTGGCCAGAGCATCCCTACTCTTGTCTCCTGTTCAGTGGCTGCTTAGTACTCAATACAGGACTCTCAAGCTCAGTCTTCCTTTAGCCCTGTTTACACTAATGCATTTTAATTTGAAAACACACAAGTTTTGCTACAGTTATGCCGTCCATCAACACTACGCCGGAGTTTTTGAGCGCCAAAAACGGAGTGTTTTGGAAACGCTAAAGAGGCCGTTTTCATTCTAAAACGCTGCTGCTCCGTCTCAGTGTGGATGGGGAAAACGGAGACATCTGAAAACGGAGGTGGGGCTGCCGACATTCGCCTCTATGATTGGGGCTTTTCCTCAATATTAAGTAGCCTACACACAGTTAAAGTTCTGCATCCTCTCAGACTTCGCAAGTTTGATATGGAAAACAGACTCCCGAGAACATGTTGGGTAAATTTTCAAAGGTAACAGTGTACTGTATAACCTTATTCATATCATCCTGGCTAGATTGTTTCACTTTCTTAACAATAAATTAAAACATGAAGGAACTGCTATTTTCATTTTGATATTAACAACTAAACAAACAGCAGAAATGTTGAGGCTCTGTGCTGCATATATGAGCATCATCTTCACTGTATGCATATTCATAACAAAATGGAGCCTATAACATTACTGCCTCCTTTTATTTTTATTAAAAATACGAAACACCCTCTCTTTTGCTGAATATCAGTTTTAATAATCAATAATGGCCATTAAAAAAGTATAACGTCCAATAAGTTTATCCATTATAGGAAATAAAGGCAAGCAATTACTCAATTTACAGACTGTACGTGGTTAAATTAATTATTAATTTATCTCTGCGATCAGCCAAAACACGTTACCCGAGAACAAGTAGCCTAATAGATTCAAAAAACCAAAGTCGGGGAATATGTTGTTAGATATAGACAACAAGATAAATTAAATATCACGTTTAGCAAATATAGTGAGATTAGATCCTGTGGGAGATCCTTGATGAACACTTCGACTAGCACAGCTCTCATCTGAGTAGATAGGGTGCAGCGCTTACCAGAGAGAGTGTGTGTGTGTGGTCACGTGATGTTCGTTTCAGTCGTTTTGGTGTGGACAGAGGGGTGTATTTAGAAACGCTGGGTGAAACGCTAGTGTGGACGCGGATCGTTTTCAATCTAAATTGAAGTTTTTAAAACTAAAACGCACTAGTGTAAACGGGGCCTTTGTCTGCCTGCTCCATTTAAGACTCCCCAGAACTACTTAATTCCTCACTGTTGGACTGTTTCACCTTAACTCCACTACATATCACATTATTGTCAATAAACACCCCTGTTCTTATTCTGCATTTGGGTCCTCCTTCCTCTAACTGTGACACTATCATAAGCCAGTGCTTCCCAAAAGATCTCCCACTTCAGTAATTCTCTCCAAAGAATCCTCACAGCTCAGACTTCATAACTTTGCTGCGTGTTCTATAAAAGATTTTGATGTAAATCGCAGATGATCCCTAAAACTGCGTGCGCGAATATCATACCTAAAGCCAACTTTACTGAGCTAGGAGGTGATTGGTTTTCTAAAGTTTTTCACAGTTCACGCGAGGGCTCGTGCAGCTTCATGAAGCCGATGAATAACCCACTTCGCCATGTTTATGCTGCCAAATGTCCCAAATAGTCCTCGCTGCAGCTGTGACGACATAACCTAAAACCTGCCTTGCAGCAATGGCGGCCGTCTGTGGGCGTGGCCAGGCCAGCCATGCATTTTCAATTTCAAATCGGCTTTCATTCGTCGCGATGAGTTAAATGAAAATGCATTATGTTTTTTTCATTTTTATTGCACGTATGTCTTGGAAAATGCTAACAGAAATACACTGCCATTTACATATTGCATTATCGTTTTGCGTATTACATTTCAAAATTAATTTTGCTACACACATCCCATGCTGTTATGCTGAAAATATAATCTTGTGTTTCCTAGACGCGAGTGTAAATGCATTTAGGACAAATAACATTTAAATGATCATTTTGCAAACAATGTAATTTAATTTACATTTTCATTCTGCACCAAACATTGCTCATATGTCTTGGAAAATGCAAATTCAAATACAGAAATACCTTGCCATTTAACATATTGCATTGACATTTTGCATATTACATTTTAAATTGAATTATGCTACTCGTATGCTTCCATACATTTTGAATCACCCTAAGTTTGTCAATTAGACCTACAGGACAACCAGCTAATAATGCAAAACGTTAGTCTAACTAAGGGGTCATGAAAAGGGGATAAAGGAGATCTTTGCTGATTTCGCACTGAGCATCCTCCTCTGACTATAAATGATGTTTCTTTCATAAAGTAACCAATTTTTAAATAAACACTTATGCACCAGGGACAGCATGTAATAATCATATTAACCTGGTCTCCAATTATATTGCAATACCAATTTGAAGTTGTTAGTGCAGAACTTACAATAATATTAACCCTCTGGGGTCGAAGACCGCGTATACGTGTTTTTATCTGTGGTGTCGTCAAACTGCTGAAATTAACTTAAATTACACTTTCAGTTTTGATCGTACAGATCAGATCAATACATCAATCGAATCTGTTATGTGTCTGTTATGTTGTCGTGAACACTCACATCTACAACAAACGTGTGTTCTTTTGCAAAATAAGGAAAAAAAAACAGTGTAGGCATCCTGTCTTTTCTCTCTCCGTGAACTGCTTTTAGAGCGCGTCAGTAAAATGCTCTGAAACTCCGAAAACAAAACACACAGAGATGAGACAAAAATCTCTAGAAAGCTTTAAAGTGTCTACTTTTAAATGCAGCTATGCGTGTCAAAAACAAACATGTCTTGATTAAGTAATCAGTATGAAACCAATGCTATGTCTAGTTTCTCAGTCTGATCTCATTAGTTGTAATGCAACCACGCCTACAAGGCATTGTTATTACGAGCGTCTGAAGACGCATGCAAACTGTGGTCAGAAAAAACATCACTAAAATGAAAGGAAACTCAGCAAACATTCAACAAAGATGATAATTTATGACATCTATATAAAGCTTGATATGTCTACTTTTGCATTAACCAATTCAAGTCGAAAACAAATAATCTCTTTTTATGTAATCCTTATAAAAGTATGGACCGCCTTTTCTGATTCCTTCTTGAAACTCTTCTCCCTTAGTCACATGCCTGTCTAATGGCTCATTATGCAGTTCATTATGCAGGTCTTTGTCTACTCAGGTGTGACTCACTGCATAGTAATGATAGTTTACACCTTCTCGCATAGACCAATTTCACTCAAAAAGTGACTTAAAAATTAATTCATTATATTGTTTTCTGTGAGTAAAAAAGATGATTCTCACATCATTTTGAAGTAAAAACACTAGGCTACAAGATTTACACATACAGTTCTCAAAAGACTTGTGCACAAATGTTCTCTGTGTGTTTCATGGCATTGTTTTAATGACTTCAACATTTTCATTTTTCACTAACCACGCATAAATGTTTCTTTCTCAAAAACACAAATGGATATAAACATTCCGCTTAGATATAATTGTAGTCCAACATGTGCTGTTTACAGTGTTATCACACTTTAGCCATTTATATGTTTTTAAGATACTGAGTACAACACAAATATCAGTGCATGTCAAAACTTCTCCAGAGCCCCGAAACACCCTTATGCTGCATTCACACCAGACGCGGAACACACGTCAAGCGCGAGTGATTTACATGTTAAGTCAATGCAAACGCGCGAATAGATATCCTGCGGCGCGATACGCGCGAATGACGCAAATTGCGCGGGGCGAATTGAACGTTTTGTGCATTTGACGCGCTTAACGAGCGTTTCGCGCGAATCTCTAGAGTTCGAAAATCTGAACTTCAGTGTACATTTGCGCTGCATTAACCAATCTGAAGCTTGCTCTTTTGGGGGCTTGATTGTGACGTAGAACCTGTTGTCGGTGTTTCGAGGGAAATCCTCCAGCCTTCAACGACAACAGTTCATCAAACTCGGCTTGGCTCAGTCAGAAGCACCGCTAAAGCCTCCGTCATCCAGGTTAAATTTCTGGAGGAGTTTATGTGCTCACAGAGCTGGATGCACCTCTGAAAGGATGTAACGTTAGTGGACTCAGACACGACCCTGAACGTAACGACGCTGTTTTTCAGTCTTCATAAAGCACATAAACACTGTTATTTTCTTCATAAAATCCATGTTAGCCATTTAGCTATGAAGCTAAAGTCTTCGGGCAGACAGAAGCCCTGCCCATCACGCGAACCTGCTTCTGTTCTGAAGTGAATTTGACGCGCGAATGAAGCGAGTAAACTCAAATGTTCACGCGGCTATTTACGCGCGAATAGCGCGATTTATCCGCGCGTTCCGCGTCTGGTGTGAACACAGCATTAGACCCCAGAGGGTTAAAGCTAAGAGGGCAAATGAGGGCAATTTTTACTCACCGAGTAACAGCAAAGTTCATGGATGACAACTCTGTTAGAGAAGGTTTCATTGTGCGATTCAATACAAAGAGTTCTTTCTCTGTGATTCAGAGAGTTTTTCTGAATGAAGTAGACATAATCCACACCTGCAATCTACACACACACAGAATATAATATTTATTTGTATATAAAATTACAATATACACAAGCAATACACAAAAACAAAATAGAGGATTTGGAGGTCTCCATTTTACCCGTTTAAGGAGTCTTGGTGCATCCACATCAAGTTTACACCTCCTCTCAATCTTATTAAATGAACCATCTTCACTGTTCTCTTCACTGATCACATCACTGTCCACAAACATGGGGATCAGATGACAGGTGGGAAATCTCCTCTCATATGCCTGAGAAATAAAAAAAATAAAAAAAGACATAAAACTAGCTCATTTACATGGAGGAAAAAAACTTAACTATGCTGCAACCTCTGTGCCACAGGCTTTATAGAGGTAATCTCAACCTTTATTATCCAATGTCCTTCATCCAATGTTTTTTTACATTTCAGATTAAAAGTCCAAAATAATGAATTAAGCAATAATTAATAGTTAATTTTTTCACCATTAAGCATTAGTTAAAAACAAAATCACTAGTAATTAATGGGTTTCCAATCATTTTATACTGTCCAAACCGTATATTATATTGATCTCACCCCACCCCTAAACCCAACCATCACATGAGACTGTGTTCAGCTTTACTCTGATTAAACTCATTCTGTAGGATTTACAAGCATTTTGAGAAATGAGGACGTCACCAATGTCCTCATATTTCACCTCCTTTTTGTAATACCTGTGTCATTCCAATATAATTATACAGATTTGTGTCCTGATATGTCACAAAAACACGCACACGCACACACACACACACACACACACACACACACACACACACACACACACACACACACACACACACACACACACACACACACACACACACACAGTAGCTGACTCCGATTAGTCAGCTTGTATTTTTGTTTATCGTTTTATATTTCATTATTTAAATGTGTATTTCTTTGTTTCCGTTTGGCTTTAGTGGGAGGTCACAAGATTCTCTTTGATTGATTTAACCTTCGAGAGTTTGTATGATCACTCAGCATAGCGAGATCCCAATGCAAGCTCCTGCTTATTCTACAGCTGGTTATCAGGCGAACACGGTAAACTAAATATTGTTTTGTATATTATTTATTTATTTTTAGGTCCTTTTGATTGTGTTTGTGTGAAACAATTGGTTTGTTTTTTTTTGTTTATCTTTTAGTTTTGGTGTTCAATAAAGGAAATGCATAAGGACATCAGTATGTGGAAACGTGGACTGTTTTAATAACCGGCGGGTAGCTACACACACTCTTCAGGATGCTATGGTTTTCACCATTATAATTGCAAGTATGTATTTCCATTACGCTAAATAAAGTGCATATAAACTTGAATCGGAAGCAAGATTGGACATTGTGTACATAAAACTTGTGTTGAGATGCCAAGCATTGGGATTTAGCTGCTGCTACATTAGTAAAAACTTAGTTCTCATTGGACTGATGAGCGGCTTGAATGGAATATACGTGGATCGCCATTGGTGTGGAATTCCGTATAAAATGCCCAATGTGGCTGTGATTGAGTTAGCAACGCTGACACGGACAGACAACAAGGAAGAACGGTGGGTGATGTTTGTTTAAAGATTTCATGTAATGGAACGTGAAGTTTTAGACCAAATGGAGACATGCTTTGCTGATAGTTTATGCTGGCAGTGTTGTTCATTGATGGAAAGAAAGAATCCGGTTGTGATATGGCCGGTTGATGTTGATGGTGGAAAGGTTGTTAGGGAAAACGTTGCAAATGATAACGGTGTTGTTAATGAAGTTGTATCATCAAAAACAATGAGAAAATTGACTGCAATGGGGGTGGCTTTGCTCTTTGAAAATTTGCAAAAGTCTAGAAAACAGAAGATGAGTCAAGTAAATAAAATTAAACAAAATGTAAATGATATAATTTCTCTTTAAACCAAAAATGAAACTGCACTAAATGTGGAAAAGTAAATGAAGAGATGTCAAGTATTGTGAAAAAGCAGAAGATTTGCATAATGCAATTGTGCAAATGCCAATACCCCAGGATGAGTTTGATAAGCAAACCAAATAGTTCAATGCTAAAATTGCAGAAAATCTGTGTTTTCAAAAGGAAATCACAAAATGTTTGTCTGATGCTGGAAAGGAGTGTGGATAAAGCCTGTGATGTTTCATCTGCAGTAAGCAGCGAAATAGGACCTGATGACAGCATTTCAAACATGTCTACAAACCAATCTTACTGTAGTAAAGTATTAAAATGTTCAGCAAGTACTTCAAGTTCGACCTCTACTGCAGATTAAAACAAGGGCAGAAAAGAATGTTCTTTAACATGCTGCTGCTATGAAGAAGAGACATATTTTAGGGGAGGAAGAAAAATAGACTTCACATTTAAAGTGATAGACTGTTAGAAGTAATAAAAAGGCATTATCTAATGACTCACGAGTAAAAAAAAAAAAAATCTCACTCAATGAAACCTGATTTCAAAATACATCTTCTTGACTACAATTCTACTCAAGTTGCGACGCACTGTACAACTACTAAACAAGCTGCAGGCATACAGGGGGGCACAGCTGCGGTTCAAAATAATACAGTCTCTCATTCGCAGTTACAAGATTATTCTTAGCAATCTCATGTCCATCTACAAACTGATACAGGACAAAGTATTCTGTATAACATCATGCAGCAATAGTCAAACATAACAGAAGCTTGTGCAAAGGGAGGATGTGACTTCATTACCTCCTCGAATATTTCCAATTTTTGATGAAGATACCTTAGTTTGCTACCTTCATTCAAGCTTTTGAGTATGGAATTGAAAGAAAGACCACAAATGCACAGGACTTTTTGTATTTAAAACAGTACTGTAACAGTTAAATGTTATTATTATTATTTTCTAATTTATTTATTTATTTTTTTTGCATAGTGTATTGTTTAGCATGATTAAAATCAGTATGTTGTAATCTTGCTTCCGACCTACGGAGGGCACAAATTTTCTGACTGAATAGACATTCTTTGGAAAAAAATTATAGCAAGCGTAAACTCTTTATTTTACCTGCGTGTATTGTTTTATCATCAAATAAACAAAAAACATCAAACACAAAAAAGGCATTCCAAAGTCAGAGTCTAAATAGTCTTTCTGAATAAAGTCAGTGACCGCTTATTGTTACGAAGCACTTGAGAGCGATGCAATATCTTTTCAAGGTCCAGTCACTTGTTAGGAAAGCGCCCTTTGATGCATATAGGAAAGACGTCAAGTTTCCCTCAGTTGAGTGAGATGATGTTGGCCCCAGAGAAGTTGGATAAGCTTAGTTTTGCTTAAACTCCAAGTGAAAACACAAGCCAACAGACGCATAAGGATAACAAAATATAAACAGTCCTTTCTAAAACAAACAAATTCGATATAAGTGCTTACAAACAACACATCAAATAAAGACAATTGAGTGATAACTGCAACAGTTCTCAAACATTGGACTGAATGTGAAGCCTGGTAGCGAAAGTGATACATGTACATGATACAAGTGATACCAGGCTTCACATTCAGTCCAATGTTTGAGAATTTGTTTGTTTTAGAAAGGACTGTTTATTTTTTGTTATCCTTATATTGAGTTATTAACGTAGAATTTTATATATGTGGTGTTATATTATGGATGCGTGCGCTCCATGCGCTGGGTCCCTCCGTTAGTGGCAAGACCACTGGATTTCAATGCCAATAGTCGGTCGGCGAGTAAATGAATATGATGAATGAAAACACACAGGCATGTGCGTATAGACATACCTTGTACTGCTGTACAGTAACGTGTCATTTGTTTGTTTTGGTTGTCCTAATTTTAATAGGTTTCGTGATGATGTGATGGTGTGCTTTATCTGCATGATTCTCGCTGAAGTGGGCGGTTTGAGTGACGTTCGATTCGGGGGATGTTCTGTCGGTGGGGTTTGCATGACGCGCTGCGAGCTACTAGCCTGACAGTGGAAACGCGACATGATTGCGGCCTCACTGCTCAACCTTCCGGGCGATTGGCCTGGCCTGGCCCGATAGTGGAAATGTGGCTATTGAACCTTACAGAAATTAAGCAAAAAACCATCAGATGGGATCGCGAGATGCCACAAACTCCTTCACGCCAACGGTCTGAGTGGCTGCAAAATCTCAACAAGATAACCATGGTAAAAGTTGACATATACCAAGTCAAACGATTTTGAAATGATCAGGACAGCTCAATTGCATTACTTTTCAGATGCAAGTCAATGTGGATTACTTTGGACCAGTTGATGTGAAGAGAGGTCGCAGTGTTGTTAAAAGATATGGAGTTTTGTTTACCTGTATGACCAGTCGAACAGTACACCTTGCAGTAGCCTACTCGTCGTTTTATGTGCTGTCGTGGCCAAGTACTGCAGTTAAGATCTGATAATGGCACTAATTTTATTGGAGAAGAGAAATAGCTTAGAAATGCTTTAAAGAGTTTGGATCATGATAAAATTCAGCATACTTTTCTATCAGAAGGAATAAAATGGACCTTTAATATGACTATGCGTCTGGGAGAGGGTCATTTGTCTTGTAAAGAAGGTATTGCACTCTACACTTTGACAACAATGCTTGGAAGGCATTCACACTTTCTTTGTGAAGCTAAAGCTATTCTTAATGACTGTCCTATCACAAAGCTTTCTGATTATTCAAATGACTTGGAAGCAATAACGCCAAATCATATCTTGCTGTAGAGATCAAAACCGTTTCTTCCTCCAGGACTTTTCCAAAAAGATGATTTGTATATCACACGTAGATGGCGACAAGTCCAATACTTGTCTGACTTGTTTTGGAAAAGATGAATAAGGGAATATCTTCCACTATTACATGAATGTCAAAAATGGAGGAAGCCACATAGAACCTTCAATGTTGGAGACATAGTGGTCATCATGGATCCAGCAGCTCCAGGGGTTCCTGGTCATTAGGCAAAATCACTTAAACGTATCCTGATAAAAAGGGATTTGTCCGTTCTGTACAACTGAAGACAAAAACAGAATAGACCGGTTTCCAAAATCTGCCAATTAGAAAAAAAAATGGACTGATCCTTAAAGTAGTACACAAACATTTTTGGCTCCTTTGATATTTTAAGAGATTAATTGTAGTTGCACACAACAACAATTATGGGGCTGGTGTGCAAGAGCCTATGTGTTGATGTGAAATTATTTTGGGCTGTCACCACTTGGGGTGAGTGCACATAGGGTTTTTAAGTAGGTGTTTCTTGCATGAGGGAAGAAGGCTGAAGGGAGGGAATGCATAGTTACACATGCACGCATGCACGCACACACGCAAAAGTCTGGTTTGTGATCGGTAGACCTTAATTATATTAAATAATTATATTAATTAAATTAAATAATTTGAGTATTCTCGTTTATATCTGTGGATTGTCTGAGTGAAAACTGTAGTCTGATTATAATTAAAAAACAAACAATACAATTATTATTCCTTGCTCTTGATAGAACAAATGTTGCAACTTATGTCTATAATCAATAATGTTTATCCTTTGTTTTAATTAATACAGAGAAAAGTGTATACAATGTCCAATATTAAATTAAATATATTATTTAGTTTTATGCATATTGCATATTTTTTTGCTTTTTTATTTCAAGGAACTAAATGTAACATTGGCATTTGTGGCAATACAAAATCTATAATAGCTGTATTATTATTTTATATATAATATTTTGCTATTTTGAAAAATATCTAGTAAAATATTATGTACTGTCATCATAGCAAAGATAAAAGAAATCAAAAATTAGAAATGAGTTATTAAAAATATTATGTTTAGAAATAAGTTTTAAAAAAACTTTCCATTAAACAGAATTTGGGCAGGAAAAGGGTTGCTAATATTCAGGAAGGCTAATAATTCTGACTTCAACTGTATACATACAGTTATTTTCCACCATGCAAAGGAAAGAAAATAAATACAATAGAATAAAAATATGAAACAAACTGTGCTTTAAGCATCTTCACTCTAAGAAAAACACTTTAGCTACAAAAATTTTTCAATCAAGAGCAGTGGAAGGATGTTCTCCTTGTTTGATTAATGATAAAAACAGGCGGCAGCAGGAATATTTCGCGCGGTCACTTTAATGGTTTCTCTTTCACGTGTCTTTTGATCCTCGACTCGTTTGTTTATTACACAAATGAGGGTTAATGTGAATAATCAACAAACACAGCATTTTGACAACTATTTGACCATTAAAGCGCTCACGTTAAGATGACTTTAGATGTTTCGTCTCAGTGTGAAAATGAGACCGAATGCTGACCGGCCGCATGCTTCTGCGTGCCGCACACACATAAGCACGCGGTCTTTTGTGCTTTTAAGAGCAACAAATGTGTACAGCTGGAAAGGGGGCGGTATATGATGCAATAATTGTTTATCTCGATTACTGCTTTTTCATAATCGTTTGAAGCCAAAATCGAAATCGGACTTTCGATTAATTGCACAGCCCTACACCAGGAAACCCTAGGGCGAAGGTCAATGATTGACTTTGTGGTTGTATCAGCTGATCTCCGACCGTATGTCTTGGTCACTCAGGTAAAGAGAGGGACAGAGCTGTCAACTGATCACCACCTGATGGTGAGTTGGATCCGCTGGCAGGGGGAAAAGCTGGACAGACCTGGTAGGCCCAAACATACTTTGAGGGTCATCTGGGAACATCTGGCTGAACCTCAAGTCAGAGGGATTTTCAACTTTCACCTTCAGAAGAGCTTTGACAAGATTCCTAGGGAGGCTGGAGACATTGAAACAGAGTGGTCCATGTTCTCCATCTTCATTGTTGACGTGGCCATGAGGAGCTGTGGCCGTAAAGTCTGTGGTGCCTGCCACTGGAGCAATCCACAAACCTGGTGGTGGACATAGGAAGTATAGCATGATGTCAAGCTGAAGATGGAGTCCACCAGGGCTTGATTGGCTTGCAGGATTCCCGAGGTAGCTGATGAGTACTGACAGGCCAAGCGTGTTGCAGCCCGGATGGTTGTGGAAGCAAAAAATAAAAATAAATAAAAAATCTGGGCAGGGAGGAGTTCAGGGACACCATGGAGGAAGACTATCGGTTGGCCCCAAAGATATTCTGGCAAACCGTTCAGTACCTCAGGAGGGGACACCAGCTCCACATCAACACTGTTTACAGCAGAAGAGGGGAGCTTTTGACCTCAACTAGGGATGTTGTTGGACAGTGGAAGGATTACTTCGAGGATCTCCTTAACTGACATGTCTTTAATCGAGAAAGCGGAGACTGGGGATGCAAGGGTGGACTCACCCATCACCCAAGCTGAGGTAGTTTGCAAGCTCCGCGGTGGCAAAGCATGCGGCGGTGGATGAGATTCATCCTGTGTATGTTAGGTCTCTGGATATTGTGGGGGGTTCATGAGAGTATGCAGAACCAGTTCACATGTGTTTTGTGGACTAGGAGAAGGCATTCGACCGTGTCCTTTGTGGCATTATGAGGAGGGTGCTCTGAGAGTATGAGGTCAGAGGTCCTCTGTTAAGGGCCGTCTCGTCTCTGTATGAACAGAGTGGGAGTTTGGTTCGCATTGCCGGCAATAAGTCAAACTTGATTTCAGTGCATGTTGAACTTCGGCAGGGCTGTCCTTCATCAACAATTCTGTTCATAATTTTTATGGACAGAATTTTAAAGTGCAGCCTTGGGCTGGAGGGGGTCCAGTTCGGAGAGCCCAGGATCTCATCTCTGTTATTCGCAGACAATGTTGTTCTGTTGGCTTCATCAAACATGGACCTTCAGCATGCACTGGGGCAGTTTGCTGCAGCTGGGATGAGAATCTGCACCTCCAAGTCCGAGGCCATGGTGCTCCACCAGAAAAAGGTGGTTTGCCATCTCTAGGTTGGAGGAAAGTCCTTACCCCTGGTGGAGTTCAAATATTTTGGGGTTTTGTTCACGATTGAGGGAAGGATGGAATGTGAGAATGGTAGATGTACAGGTCCGTTGGGGTGAAGGAGCTGAGTGAAAGGCAAAGCTCTCGATTTACCGTTCAATCTATATTCCTACTCTCGCCTATGGTCATGAGCTTTGGGTCATGACTGAAAGGACAAGATCTCTGATACAAGTGGCCGAAATGAGTTTCCTTCACAGCCTGGCAGGGCGAACCCTTATAGACAGGGTGAAGAGCTCAGTAACCCAGGAGGAGCTCGGGTAGAGCCGCTGCCCCTCCACATTGATAGAAGTCAGCTGAGTTGGCTCACGCATTTGTTATGAATGCCTCCTGGTCGCTGACCTAGGGAGGTGTTCCAGGCATGTTCCACCAGAAGGAGACCTCGGGGAAGACCCAGGACACACTGGAGGTACTTTGTTTCTCGGCTGGCCTGGGACCGCCTTGGGATCCCCCTGGAGGAGCTGGAGGAAGTGTCTGGGAAGAGGGAAGTCTGGGGTTCTCTCCTAAGACTGCTGCCCCCTTTACCCGGAAAATCGGTTCAAAATGAATGAATGAATATAATATTTTGTTAATATGTTCAGTTTTATTATTTTTTAAATATAGCAATCAGCCAGGTATAGTAATACATAACATTTTGAAATCAGTAAAACTGCTAAAATATTACATAAATACTTTTTACAAATTCTAAATTGTGGCCCTTAGCATTTTATGTGGTTTTAGGGCGCTTTCACACCTGTGTATCGATTCAGTTGTTCCGAAACAGAGATTACAATTGTTACATTGTTGCTCTTTGCTCTTGGAGCGGTTCGCTTTCACACTGCAAAGTTTATAATCGGACCAAAAGAGCTAAAACAAGTCACGTGCGAGGAAACTCTCTTCACTTTGGTCAGAACCGACTTATTTGAGAACCGGGAGTGAGACGCGAGATTACCGGGAGATCATCACTGGTTTGCGGGCATCCGGAGACTCGCGAAACTTCCCGACATACTCATAATTCTCTCTTCATATAGCCGTAAGCCTATTACATATCCATAAAACACTGTGATATAACCGCGCTGGGATCGGATCGCTTTCTCACTGCAATCGATCCGCTCCAGGGTTCGTTTCAATCGACCCGAGACCACCTCATTTAAGCGATCTCGGAGCGATTACTTTGGCGCGGAACAGAGCGCGATTGCCCTGTTCACATATGCCAATCGAACCGCGCTAACTGGGCAAACGAGATGCGTTCCGAAACAAAAGTGTAGGTGTGAAAGCACCCTTAATGTGCCCCCCAGGCCTTTAAACATGAATACCACTGAGCTGTATGGAATGCCTTGTGGGACTGGGATGCAATGTAAATGTGCTGTTGAGTGTTAAGACTGTGGTTGATACTTACTGCCATGACAAGTTCAAAAGGATGTTTGTACACCCTCACAGGGGACTGATACTTTTGCACCATGATGGAACCTTTGGCAGTGCTGAAGTATAAACTAAAGAAAAAAAAACAAGAACACAATCATTTTATGTAATGATACAAAGATTTATCAGAAGTAGTAGTACATCACCATAATGTTGCCAGAAAAGCATAATTTTACATTTTTTTATTATTCATACACATTTTTAGTTCTAAAACTACGTCTATGTATTAGGGTTGTGAAGATGAGGAAATTTCCCCACCGGTTAATCGACATGTGACGACACCGGTAATACCGGTATCACCGTGGGGGTGGGTGTTTCCTCTTTTTTTCTGCTTTTAAATAACTTATAAATGTGTGCGTATAATACTTTCACTTTCAGTTTTGCAGGAATTGCCAACACGCACAGCATAAGAGCGCTATACCCAATACACTGACTGGCAGGATGTGCTGAACAAACTCCTCAGGACCAGTTTTATTTGTTTTGCTATTTGCGTGTTGTTCCTTTTCATAGTACCCTTTATTTGTAAAATCTCTCAAGTTAATATTGGCTATCGGGTAACAATCTCCCTCAAAGATATTGGGGTTCAATAAGGTGGTGCGCAGTATGACAACACCTCCCTGTAAGTTTACACACTGCATAGACTACAGCTCTGGTGTGTTATGAACTGCATGTTTTAAATGACAGCGAGACATGCTACATTTAGTTTTTCTTGGAAAATATACATTATAACCCAGTACACAATAAAATAATATTTTTTGAATGGCTTGCCTATTGGCAGCGTAAAACCGTTAAGCTTAAATAGGCTTAGTACATTTTTAATAATATCAAAAAACATTGATACAAACTAGCCACCCTTTGATTTTTTTTTTCGTTTCTGTATATTTTATCAAACGAAAAATGCAATGAATTGTTTATTTTGGTTTTCATTTTATTAGAATTATTATTAACAATTATTATTCACAACTTTTACATAACATTGGCTCTGATTGGGTTAATCTAACAAATAGGCTTTTTGGCTCAAGGACATTTATGCCTGTTAATTTCAGTGCTGTATTTTGACAGATTTCCCAAAGGCTTCAGCTATTCTACCTGTCAGTTGGTACCAGCCCCAGTTTTGCGACTTGACTTGTGTGGCGTCTGTATCATTGTCTGGATAACAGTGAGAGAGAGATAAGATCAGACCTTAGATTCGATGTGTGTCATAGTCACTTTACTGCAATTTTGTAATATTGGATCATCTTTATTAACTTTCATTTGATTAAATGCCAAAATACTGCCACACATTTCATTTCTTGCCAAAATAAAACATTGCATTTAATGCTGAAAGAAGGTCAACCAGATTAACATATCATACCGCATTCACAATAGCCTCATTTATTTAATTAGGCTATAATGTCCTTGACCACCACCAAATAAGAATGTTCAACTGGACATTACTTTAGTTCTATGTTCAGAGTCGCTGCCTCAGTCAATCAAATCCAGTCAAATAAAGATTACAGCTCAGACTACAGGAGTTTTAACCCGATTTATACCCGATTTTCACCTTCTGTTAAAAGGAAATAATTAAGTTTACTACAGCTCATAAGCAAATAAACACTTAGTTTATGTTGTCATATTTTCATTGTCAATTTTTTTGTTTCTAGTTTAGTAAACAAAAATAAACTTATAAGCATAATTTAAAATGATTATTTATATAAATATTACGGAATGATAGGGTATATTTTACATATTAGGCAACTAAAGCACAACAGCAGCCTGTTTTTTGTTCATTAGATATAATCAGGGCCGGAGTGGGACTCCTTTTCAGCCCTGGAGTTTCAAGCCTTATACCGGCGCACCTCAGTTCACATTGGACTATATTAAAATAAGGTAATTTCCAATTCAGTATCTAATTACACTATCACGTCTTTTTCAAGAAAACAGCTGCTTGAAAACTTCAAATGTTCCAACAACCTTTGAGTTTTATGTCTTAACAATAAAAATGAAAAAAAAAAGAAAGATTTATTCAGGTGAGGATCGAACACAGATCGATGGCGTTGCAACGCAACGTGCTGACCACTGGACTACAATAGCGCAGTTACACTTGTGTGGCCGGAACGATAGTTAATACTCATCATTACCCTGCAGGCTACATTTTGCTCATGGGGCTGCAAGACAATAAATAATAAGAGCGAAGCTGCGGCAAAATAATGAATAAAAAGTGCGAGGCTATGGTCAAATAAATAAATAAATGAAAAAAAGTGTGACTAGGACTGCTGGCGGCTCCGTTTGCCATGCTTGAGAGGAACAGTCTGCGCAAATGGAGTACAGAGTGGGTGTCATCGACTACAGCTCTCATCTGATTGGCTGAAAAGTACGAGTTGCCCTGATTCTGCCAGGAAAGTCTCAAAAATACACACACTCGTATCCAGGGGGAGTCGTACATGAAAGAGGATTTGCACATTGTCATTCAGGATGAACTCGCAAGTTTTAAACATTCAAAACTTTTTGTATACTCTTATACATTTGCAAATGGTGTTTTGCATTTGTGAACGTATTTTATGAAAATTTATTTTTATATCGTGCACGTGAATTTTTTTTGTGAATATAAATAAATATTTTACGCACATGAATTTGATTTTATGCATGTGAATTTGGCTACGCATGTGTACATCGTGTCTTTTGCGTGAATCACTTTTGAGTCTTTTCTGACTTTTCTGACATACTAAAGTGTCACTACTAATAAATTAAGAAATAATGTAGGCCTACGTGTCACTAATGTCATGCCACTGATGTCAGTAGGCCTACATGCCACTAATGTCAGTAGGCCTACATGTCAGTGATATTGTGACGTGCCAGTAGGTGTCAGTATAAGCACATTAAGGCTATAGTTTTTCTTTGCTTTAATATTGAAAAATGATTAGGCGAATGAAACCTGTTATCTTAAATACAAATATGTTATGTAGAGCTGGGCGATATGGCAAAAAAAATTATCACAATAATTTTTTTCATCAGTCGATATCGACATTTATCACGAGAAATGTAAAATCTTTATATCTATCAATTATATAAGATTTTCAGCATGCCAATGGCTTTGTGCAGCTGATTTAACACATTTAGTGAAATGTTTTAGCTGTCTGACAATATAAATAATAAAATAATGAACAAAAGAACCATCTTAATTCAGCATTTACTTGTTCAAGTTTTCAACAACCAAAGACATTACAAGTTATTGGATATTATTGTTCAACATCAGAAAAAAAATAAACCCGATTTGGAACAATGTGAGTTAATAGTCACAGAATTTTCAGTTTTGATTGAACTCTCCTTTTAATGGTGAGTATGGTAAATTTAGGGTAAAATATACTTTAATGTATTTTATTTAGGGATGCTAAAGATTACTTGATCTATTGATTTCAATAACGCTTTAATTGATGGACCTTATCGATGACTGATTAAGCATGCATGTAAAGGTGTAGTTAGGCTTTGTGCTGAGACGCATCCACGCATTACATAATCAAGTGTGTGCAGTTTACCTTACTTATGCTGTCACCCTCTTGACATCCCATATTGCGGGTCGCATAAAACCTTGTTATGCGCATATCGCCGATATATCCACACGTGTTTTAACCAAATTTGTCTGACAGACTAGCACGAATAGGTCTATGCAGACTCTCATTTTACAATGAGATGGGTTGAGGGGGGGGTTCTTGTTAGGCACGGCTTTCGAAAATGATGACATGAGCCTCTGCTGGGTAGCTGCGCAGGTTTGCCAACACTTGTTTATGTCTGTAATTTCTTAGCATCTTCATAAGGGTGGTCTTGTTTTAATTGGTGAAACAGGCCATGGTGTTGCCTGCTTTTAATGACACGAGTCGTCTAAGCAGTTTGTGGTGCACATTGCTCTGTTTTGTGTCGGATAGCGAAGAAGTAGCTCATGAAGTCTAGTGACGTTTCTTGTCAACAATGTCTGTGACTCTGACCTTTTTTTACCTTATTTCTTTCTTACTCCTTTCAGTGCAACTAACACTGTATGGCTGTAAACTTGTACGGCAAGCGGCAGTCGGAAGGGCAGGCTGCAAAATGCTTGCGCAATGTTTTGCATAGTGCGTAAATATTATCGAGCAATTATCAAACTGTCATTATCATTTTATCAAAAAATTGTATATCGTGATAATTATCGATATCGAATTATCGCCCAGCCCAAATGTTATGTATTTACAACATGCATTTTATTATAACTTTATTATAATATAACTTTTTAAAGCATATCATTTAAAATACCTTAAAATTAAAATTAATTAATTATTAAAATTAATAAATTTTTTAACAAACAGAGAAGTCCATATTCTAGCCAACAAAGGAACCGCCACAATGCAATAATATAAGGCACAACAGATAAGCATGTCACAATAAATTTGATATCCACTGACATGTACTGTCAAATGATTTAATATTAAGTATAGTAGCAACAAATACCGGAAGTATAACTACGAATACATAAAATAAATGTTTTTAAATTAAACATCATGGAGTAGTCCAGCATATAAACTAACTTGTGACACAATAAATCATGTTAAAAATTGCATAATAATTAAATATGGTCTTGTGCGTGTTAATTGGTGTCATTTAGCTTCGCCGAGTGTCGATGTCACTGCAGCGACATGTAGCACCACGCTCTGAGTGACACAGGTCACTACCATAAACTGTAAAAGATATGGACGTAGTATCCTTGATGTCACCCATAGATTTCTGAACACTGCAAAAGAAGCTACAAGTAGGCCCCACCAACCATCACCATTTTGTTCGTACATCATCGCACCCACAGTGGGATACCAAACAAGGTCAAAGAGGCGGACAGTGAGCGGAGCTACAGACACCTGCTGGCATTTTGCTTGGACCTGGCTTAAGCAGATTTTACTTTGGGAGAACGCTTAATACTTTACTACATGCGACACGTTTGTGTTCTGACCACGTGTTTGGTTGTGTACACTATATTAATATAGTGTTTTGACTTTTAAAAACACTGATATAACACACTGAGCCACTATGCATTGTTCTTATGACATTTTTCTACAGGAGGAAAACGTGAATTACTTCCCAACACTTCAGATATAGTCCATGTTAGTAAATGCAAGATTTATTAGGTCCAGGCATAACACTGTCTGAACATGCTTCAGATGACTGTTCTATAACCTACAGCTAATCAATCTGTCAGATTCTGGAGTGCTTTACATGTCTAAAGAAAAATATAAATGATGCTAAATAAAACAAATACGTTTATAGAGATGGTATACAAGTATATACTTTCAATCACCTGGGAAACTTAATCAGTTTGTGAGCACAATTAAATGCACGCAGCATGTTATATCATCTGATAATTGTAGGAAATCATCGAGAGGCAGTTTTAACATGAAGTGACACGACATCTGATGTATAGATGCCACTAGAACGTGCCACTGAGTGTAGTGACACTTCCGGTGACATACCAGGTTTTCACTGTCATGCGTCACTCGGTAGTGGCATGTGTAGTGACCTGTGTTGCGCTGCATGTCACTGAAGTGACATCGACACCCGGCGAAGCTTAATGACATTAATCAACACGCACAAAACCATATTTAATCATTACGCGACTTTTAACCTGATTTATTTCATCGCAAGTTAGTTTATATGCTGGACTACTCCATTTTCATTTGAAAGCATTTATTTTATTTATTTTCGTACGTAATGTTTAGTCATTTGATAGTACATGTCAGTCAAATTTAGTGTGGCATGCTTATGTAAGGGAGGGGTTACACTTATCTGTTGTGCTGTATATTATTGCATTGTGGCAGTTCCTTTGTGGGCTACAATATGAACTTCTCTATGTTTGTTAATTCATTAATTTATTTATTATTTAACTTGTTTATTTTCATTTTAAGGTATTTTAAATAATATCCTTTATAAAAGTTAGAATAAAATTCATGTTGTAAATTCATAACATATATGCATGTAAGATAATAGGTGTCATTTGCCTAATATTTTTTTAATATTACAGCAAAGACTAACTTAAAAGATTATGTGCTTATAACGTGCTTATACTGACACCTACTGGCACATGTCACAAGATCACTGACATTACTGGCATGTGTCCCTGACATTACTGACAAGTGTCACTGACATTAGTGGCATGCACTGACATTAGTGGCATTTAGGCCTACTGACATTAGTGGCATGCACTGACATTAGTGCCATGACATGAAGTGGCATGTAGCTGCAATCACATTTAACACAGCTTACATGACAGTGAAAACTGGACTTGCCACCGGAATTGTAACTACACTCAGTGGCATGTGCCAGTGACATTGGTACTACAGATGTTGTGTCACTTCATGTTAAAACTGCTGCTGGAATAATCCCAAAAGGCAACTGACTACGTAAAGAAACGTTAACCAAAACAAAAATACAATGTATATGCCGAGCTCAGCAGCTAATTAGCCGTAATCAGTTGGGGTGACAAGACAGCGAGCAGCGAGAGCTGTCACTCAAGTGGCCATGCCCTTAATTATGCCGACTTAATATAACTTAATAAAAATTAATTGGATTATAAAATAAATAAATAAATAAATCAACCCCCTCACAGTTGTCAAGAAGTGTAATCACACCAAATATACACCACATATACATATACACCAAAGCTATCTTTTGTACCAGGCTGTAAACATGTTTTATCAGCTGTAAAAATGGCCTATTTCCCTTGCAGTCAGAAATCACCTGGACTTCCTGGAGCCAGCTCCCCAAGTGGAGTCGATGAATTGCAGTTTAAGTTACTAAATATTAGACACTACACATGTCACTACTGAGTGACACATGACAGTAAAAACCGGACATACCACCGGAAGTGTCAATACACTCAGTGGCATCTGTACGTCAGATTTCGTGTCACTTCATGTAAAAAAATGCTAGACTCAGATCTAGACTAACTACTGCACTAAGAAATAAAAATCTATGTATATGAGCTAACTTACAAAAATCGGTGACGTAAAGTAATAGAAACCTTCCTTCTATGAACTGTTGTTATTGTAGCATATCCGAAACAACTTTCTCTATTATGAAAGAATATGGTATATGTATGCTTATCTCAACATCATATATATTATAAGTAACTTAGCTGAGCTCTTCTGGTAACGCAATTAGCCGGTTAGCGCATAGAATACTTCCTGAAAACGTCCCTCACAATGACCCCATGATTTAACTGTAACGTTGATCATTAAGAAATTATACTGCTCTAAAACACCACGGTCGTTATTTAAAACAACACGTAACTATAAACGGTTTTAGGGGAAACGCCCGACGTAATGTGTTAGCAAAAATTATTAGCAGGTTTAGCGTACGTTAGTTCACCGCTAATGCTATTTAACAACAAGACGTCTAAGCATTGCATTAGTCAATAGCAAGTATACATTGATTTTATTTGAAATGTATTTAATGTGTAGTTAATTGGAAAATATACTTACAAAAACAAAGTATTCGTAGAAATTGATAAAGCCCTTTTCAATGTCAAGCGTCCGCTTCAGTTTTTAGATGCTAACGTTAAAAGGGATTTCCATGGCTGTTGTTTTGTCTCTGAGTCAAACCAGCCAGTAATCCAGATCAGACCTGGAACAGACTCACTGCTGTTGACCCTGTTCCCATAACACAACGGGTGAGAAAACACTGCTACTCCTGGCTGCTTGTATCTCCAAAATTTTTAACGCCACAATGCAACTCAGCTGCGTTAACGTCCTTCTGCGCAGGCACAAGAAGTGAAAACTACATATGCAATCACTTCTTCGTCTTCTTTGATGTTTATCGGCGGTTGGTATCCAACTACAATGGTGCATTACCGCCGCCTTCTGTACCAGAAGTGGACAGCGATAAGCAGTCCCTTCATTTTTTTAACTCTGGAAAATAGCGTTTTTTGCTTTTCTCCTAACACTGCATTTCACCGTCAAATATAATATTTCAAATATAAGATTTTTTTTCTTTGCATTGTGATGTAATTTCATATCTCATCTTTGGCTATTTATGTATAGGGATGGGCAGTATATATGATAGCCTACATGTATTTCAAATATAAAATATAATTTTGTCATTTGTATTTAATGAGTTTGTGAAAATGGGTTAAAATTTTAAATCAAAATACTTCAGTGTAGATGGGTTGCGGCTGAAAGTGCATCCGCTGTATTAAAAAAACGTGCTGGATACGTTGGCGGTTCATTCCGCGGTGGCGACCCCGGATTAATAAAGAGGCTAAGCCGAAAAGAAAATGAACACTAGTGTCTTGTATTTTTGTATTTTTGAAATACTATAAAATACTTCGTAAGGAGTCTAGATGATGACATCATAAAAATCCAGCCTCAGATTAATGGTTTCTCAGTTATTTGCCTAGGTTTGAGATCAGAACAGAAAATTTAGCAGGTGGTCAATGCTTGGAGTATGGATAGAAATTATGCAACAGACACAAAGCAAATAGCAGACAAATAACTTGGGTATATTTGGGAGCAAGTCAACAATCACTGAAAATAGTATACTGCACAATGACCAGTAATATATAATGGCAGTATAGTGTGCATTTCAGCATCAGCATCCTTGCTTAGGAAAGAAGATTAAATAAAATATCATCCCTTAAGAACAGGATAAGGAGCCTTCAGCACATGAAAAACATGATTTATGGAAATTACTTTATGATTTAAATTATTTTAGTTTAAATTAAATTTAGTTTATTTAAATTATGTAAACCAAAAAAAAGTCTTCCTATATTACCCTTTTAAAATATAAGACTGTTAAGAGAAGGTGCCAATTTTACTAAGCACCCAATGGATGAAAACAATTAACAATTAAGAGATATTGTACTATATTCCAACTCAATATCTGCATTAAATGGTTTTTACAGTGATTAAAGAGATTGAGACAGGAATCTCTGTATGAAATTTGTGCAAATATTATTTAAAAATATAAAAAGAAAAGTTTATGAATACCTCCTCATGTACAGGGGTAAAAGTGAATGAAGTGGCAAAGAAAGCTCAGAGAAACACTGTTGCTGTCAAATGTTGTTTACTTCACTAAGCCAGTTTAATGGTTTGAAGTTTAAAGGTTTGCGAAGAAATGCCATGTAAAAGTATGTTGTAGTACAGCCTGAGACCCCCTTTTTCCCCGAAAAATGTTCTAGGGCCCCCTTTACATTTAATGACATATTCGCTCATATAAGTTTGCAGTAATGATGACAAAAAATATTGTTTTCAAACTAACTGTATATTTATTACGATATCTAGATATGTTAATGCAAAAATAATAGCCTAATGTCTCCTAGAGATGGGTTGCAGCTGGAAGGGCATCCGCTGCGTTAAACATGAGCTGGATAAGTTGGCGGTTCATTCCGCTGTGGCGACCCCTAATTAATAAAGGGACTAAGCCGAAAAAATGAATGAATGATTGAATAATAGCCTAATGTAAAATATGAAAGCAAAACATCAGTGGGCCATTTGTAACTGAAAAACGTAAGCCTTTGGTCTTTAAATTCACCCTATTTGAAATTCAATAACAAAAATATCAGTATTCACACTGGTTAAGAAAAAAATAATAATAATATAGGCTGTTATCATTCAACACTTGCATGTTTTTTGTTATGCTCTATCAATAAGAGGATTGCTGGACTTCCGGTGGCGCGCGCTGCAAGATGGCTGCTCGGCACTGAGCTCCTTACAAATACCTCCGATTATAACATTTTTTTTTTCTTCAAATTGAGGATAAATTCCTAATTAAAATAGAACATCAACTCCTTCTAAAGAATGGCAACTAGTAAAAAGACGATGTCTCCTCAAAAACAAGCTACAGGAAACAAACGACTAAAAACGCTTGATGACGACGTGGCCTCCATCGTCAGCCATGCAATCGAAGCGCAGCAGGAAGCCTTGCGTGAAATGGTCTTCGGCATGTTAACAGAGGCAATAAAGTCCGCTCTTGCTCCTTTCAATGACTACATTAATGAAAATGGAACTGTTCTTCGAGCTATAAAAGAAGAAATAGGCTCTCTGGGTAAGAACATGGCGTCGATAACATCAAAAGTAGATGATCTACAAGGAAACCTTCGCAAAACTAAAAAAGATACAAATCATTGCTTGTCTCAGCTTGACCAAATACAACGAAAATGCACGGATTTGGAAGATCGCTCACGACGCAACAATATCCGTCTGGTCAACTTACCTGCGGGAATGGAAGGAGACGACCCTATCGGCTTCCTTCAGAAAACGCTCCCTAAATGGATCCCGGACCTGTCAGGGCGTTCAAATCCAATAGAGATTGACAGAGCTCATCGAGTCTACTCGAATTCTAACTCAAACAGATCACGAGCGATGATCTTTCGACTCCTTCGTTATCCGGACAGGCAGGCCATACTTCAAGGTGCACGTAAAGCAAAGCCCACACTACCCGGAGGAGCGCGTCTGGAATTCTATGCAGATTACAGCGCCGCGACCGCACAGAAGAGAAAAGCGTTCTCGGCCGTCAGATCCAAACTCCAACAAAAAGGTGCGGAAACTTTTCTAATTTACCCAGCAATACTGAAAGTCTCATTCAAAGGCCAAAAATACTCATTTGAGACGCCGGATGAAGCCGAGAAATACATCGAGGGACTGGAGCGAACAACGTCAGCGCCGGCTCGCAGGTCTTTATATCCTCAGCTCCAGGAGGCAATGGAGGAAACCGATTAAGGAGACAATATTGGACTTAGCAACACTTAAATGACATGATTAGAAACATTTCTTAGCCCCCTAAATGACCAAATTATACGGTAAACAACTATTACTATTAATATTATTATTTTGTTTTATTGGTGTTTAAAGTTACGGTTAGATATTCATGATACTAATTTTATTTATTTAATACTATTTATTTTATTATTATATATATATTTACTATTATTTGTTATGTTATTTATTTATTTTAGTTATTTATTTTATTATTTTTTATTTATTTATTTTTATTGATTTATTTTAGTTATTTTTTTTTTGTCGACAAGGTGGGGGCTAAGTTTCTTGGTTTAAGATTGGAACAGCCCGAATTCAAAACTTGTTACATGTTTAAATAGAGTTGATGCTGATACACTGATGGTTGTAACGTTCCTCAGCTGTTTAATATCAAGGAGGTACTGGAAGGCGAATAGTGTTAAGACATTGCCTCGCGATCGCCACAGACGCTCGTTATTGAGGGGGTTAGGGAAAGGGTGGGGCACTCAGGAATAAAATACGCAGAAATTTTTATATTCTTTTCATATATATCCACGAAATTTCTATGTTTAAATTGCACCTACTACTACAATCTTTACATGTTTATTTGTGAAAGCTTTATGTTCAGAGATTATGGTTAATTTGAATATTATGTCTCTTAACGTCAGAGGGTTAAACTCTCCTAGTAAACGGACTAAATTTTTAGATTATCTTCGCAGGAAAAACATAGACGTTGCACTTATCCAAGAAACCCATCTAAGGATAGCAGATGTCCAGCGATTACAAAACAAACACTATATTCCTATAGTATCTTCAGGTTATAACTCTAAAAAGAGAGGGGTGGCAATATTATTTAAAAGAAATCATACTTTCAGTATTGAAAATTTAGGATCAGACAATAATGGTAGAATGGCATATTGTTGTACTAATATAGGAGGAAAGAAGCTAATGTTTGTCAATATTTATGCCCCAAACTCTTATGATGCTCCTTTTTTCCCAGACATTACAAAAACTCTTTTAGCCTATAATGAATATTCACTTATTATTGGAGGAGACATGAACACGGTAATGGACACCGTTTTAGATCGATCAAATCCTTCAATCCCAATGATACAACCCCAGTCTTCAAAAGCATTAAATTGGTTTACTAAAGACCTAAACGTGAGTGACACCTGGAGGTTGCTCAACCCTAATGTGAAAGAATACACTTACTTCTCACCAAGACATAAATCCTATTCAAGAATAGACTACATCTTACTATCTCCTATGATATTTTCATGTGTAAAGAACATTGAATTTCTACCACAAAGTATTTCTGACCACAATGCAATAACAACATCGCTGCAATTTAGTACACTGACCAAACCCTCTAGATGGAGATTCAATACTCTTTTACTCAAAAACGAGGAATATATTTCACAACTGAGATCAGAATTAACTGAATTTATTAGCATTAATCAAAATTCTGTTTCCAACCAAGACATGTTTTGGGCCTCTATTAAAGGTTTTTTAAGAAATAATGCAATTAGTTTTTCTGCAAGGCTTAAAAAGAATTACCTTCAACAAATATCATCATTAGAAAAAAGGTGTGGAGAATTGGAGCGGGAATTAGAAAAGAAATTTGCAACAGAAACACAACAAAAATTAAAGGTAGAAAGAGCTACACTTAATGACCTGCTTAGACAAAGAACCGAATACTTGATGCACATCACAAAACATAAATACTACATAGATGGAAGCAAACCGAGCCGACTCCTTGCACTCACTTTAAAAAAACATGAGCAACGCTTTAATATAAATGCAATAAAAAACTCTGAACAGGTTCTCACCTCAAACCCCTCAGATATTAACAAAACATTTAAGAAGTTTTTTGAAAAATTATACTCTTCAGAAATACAAACTAACACGGATCATTTAGAAAATTTTTTTGAGTCTTTAAACTTAACAAAACTTTCTAAGGAAGATGCTGACAACCTAGATTCAGAAATAACTCTAGATGAATTACATAATGCAGTTAGGGATTTACATACAGGGAAATCTCCAGGTATTGACGGCATCCCTGGCGAATTATATCTAGTACTATGGGACTTACTGG